TCCCCCCACCTACAATCACTGCTGGTACTGAGACTCGAACCCGCGACCTTTGGGTTACAAGTCTGACTCTCTAACCTGATGACTGTCCTATTAGCCTAATAATAATTAAATGTAATGTTTTAATCATCTGACGTCCGCATCGCTCCTTAGGCATGGGTATACTTCACTTTCCGCGTTCTGTTCCGTCTTGTGCCCAGCTGCGACCGCACAGCTTATAAAGTATACTCAACCGTGGATGAGAGCGGACGGATGAGCTTGACACATGCACAGTATCACCTATTTGACCCGCTCTGTCTCAACATTCACTGGGGACACTTCTGATGAAAATGTTCTGAATATTGCAAATTGCTAGTTGCTAGGTAACAGTGTTGGGAGTAACGCATTACAAAAGTAACTCAAAAGTAGTGTAACGCATTACAATTCAGAGACAGTAATATTGTAATGTAACTAATTACTTTCAAAAGACAGTAACTAGTAATATATAATGTATTACATTTTGGAAGTAACTTGCCCAACACTGCTAGGTAACCATGCATTCCATCCATCTCATAATTATACAAAATACGAATTAGAGAGCTGCATGGATGACACATTTTTTGTAGGTGAAAACCCGGAAATGATTTAGCATTTTAGATAGCTCAGAGTTAGTTCCACTGTCCTGAAGTGTTTTTTTTTTTATGCCTGTAATAACGTCTGTGATTAACACAAGCCTATATATTTTCACATTTTATTCTATGCCATAAAATCAGTAGTACCCTAGGTGATGACAAATGGCTAAATGGGACTACAAAGGTTGTCTGGGACATTAAACATCATCACACCAAACAGGAAAACTCATCTACTCACTAGTCCACATTCACAGCCTTGTTGTGCTTATAATTGCACTCTTGCTTTCTCTCAAACTTTCAAGAAAAATGTCATGCGGCCGTGGTGTAGTTTTTTTATAGCCAGTTTTAGCTTTTTACTTCTGGCAATTGTATTTAGGCTTCAAAATTCATAAGTTGCTTTCTGTGAAGATTATCGTGATGAACAAAATATGTAAGCATCAACAACGTTTGTTGGTCACAGAGTTCATCATCCAAAAGCTAATGGAAAAATCCTGTTGAGTTTTTTAGTGAGAGAACCAAGGTGATGTGAACTTCTGGGTTGGCCTGTGAACATACGTCATCACTGCAGCACTCAATTTGTTTTTAAAGGAAGCATAAGCTTACACATGAGCGAAACATCTTCAGTTTGGAGTTTAGAGTTGTCGCTTTAAGAATACAGAAGGAGAGAGAAATAGAGAGCGACAGAGACAAAGGTTATCGATCCTCTTTATTGTGCCTCTTTATCTCTCTCTAGCTTTACTCACAGTAACCGTGGTATAGATACAGACTGCAGTGTATTATATGGTCTGATCTCTACAGTGCTCTCTCTCATGGTAATCATCAAAAGTGCTCTCAGGTAGCTCTGTCTCTCAAGGGTTTCTGGGGAAAGTCACTGTCAGGGTCAGCAAATAAGTACCACTGTTTTCTCACGTTTCAGATATTTTTCACATATCTGCATAAATGGAGATCAGCAAGCTGTGCGCTGAGTGCGACCCATGAGATATTCCTCAAACTTGCAGAAAATTGCATTTGGCATTGTTTCCAGTCTACGACTGTGTGCTCAGTTCAGCACCACAAATGCGAGAGCAGATGTTGCTGAACATTAGCCCTGAGCATTACCGTTCAACCATATGATACTCTATATGACTTTAAATGGTGTGTAATGCCATATCATTCATTAATGTAATGCTCATTGGTCCATTTACATTGGGTATGACTTAAATTGTAACTGCAACAGCCTCTCTCTCTCTCTTTTTTTTTTTTTTGCTGCTATGTGTTGTTTCATAAAGCATGTTGATGTATGTCCTCTTCCCACTCACTTCAGTATCACTTCATGTGTTAATAAAGACATGGGTGTATAGTATGTCTGTTTAAATAAGCATTTAAAACCATGCAAATTAGTCTTATCTGACACTATATACATGTATTATATATAGCTATTTTAACGATTTAGTTACATTGAAAATGGCACAGTGCCCCTGGGATGGCGGTTAATGTGACGCCAGTGATGCAGATGCACATATAAGAATAATGATGATGACGATGATGTTGGTAATTATAACGATGAGTTGGAGGATTATAAAGCCGTCTTGCTCAGTTTACTCACGTTCCAATAAAAGCAAGTTCTTTACTACAACTTTATATTGCAAATAATAAGGGTGATATCGACTCGAATACATTTATGAGTCACAGAGGGAAGCAACAGTCAATTCTTGTGTAGATTCTTAATGGTGTCTTCTAGAGGCCGGGTCAGTCCTGTGCGGTTTGGCAGAGTATCTGTTTATGTGTGGGTGTTTATTATGCGAGACCAGAGGCAGGGAAAGGCACATAGGGGCATTGAATCAACACTGAGAGACAGCAAGCAAGGTTATTTAATTTGTTAAGCATCTGGTGCTCTATCAAGAGACTCTGATGAAATATCTGGATTTTATGTATGCTGATACCGTGACACTTAATCTAGTTTTCGCATATCACCGACCTTCTACGAATTTACGCAAGCCATTCCTTGTTTCTTATGAAATGCAATCTGTTTGTTTGATATTCGAGGAAACTAGGAAACGTGGTCGGGGTTGTTAGGTAGCTGGTACTATGTTTGCTAGATACTAATACTCAAGACTAAGATGTCCTAAGGTTTTTGCATACCTAGCAAAATGTTTAGATTCTAGGTGTAATGGAATTTTCTGGTGATTTATTTAAGTTAAAATTTTCTCTTGAGTGTTTCTCCTAAAATTGATTGGGAGAAATGTAATTGCAAAAAGAAAGACAATCTAGATAAATTAAACATTAACTAATCATTAAATAATTAAATAATAAAATATTAAAAAATGTATTTTATTTTGAATAGGTGCCAAGGAAACATTTCATGTTTGTTTGGTTTAACTTAATGTACTAAAATAGCTAAAACTTAAATAAAAAAAATAAAAAAAAACAAGTTAGACATAAAAAGACAGACAACAAAATTACTAAAATTAAAATGGAAACAGAAAATATAAAAATAAAAAATAATTCAAAATATTTATAAAAACTATAATAGTATCTCACTTATACTAAAATAACACTCATCTAAGCATAGTCTGTGATGTTGTTCTCTTCCTACGTTATATAGGGCATTTTTAGTCTTGTAACACTGCAGTCAGACTGTTTGATTTGAAGTGCACACTTAAATCTGTGAGATTAATCCGATGACTTGCTTTGATTGACCCACATGATTTGCATAGATTGAGAATTTGTTTTAGCTCTGTAGTTGTTTGTAGCGTCTTGTCATCTTGCTTTGTTTACCACTGTTGACCCTCTTCAACTCAGTGCTGTACAACACCCTAGTACTCACTTGAGATCTCCATATTCAGCTGCTACTTGCATGTTGCATGCACACACATACACACATATGGATGCTCAGGCTAACAAGGTCAAAAGCTAATGTCTTGCCCCCTACCATTTGGCACAACTGCTTTCCCACAGATCCAAGGGCTCGCCCCTGCTTGAATTCATGTCGTAGTGATCGTCCATTTCTGTCTTTCTCTCTCTCTCGCCCCTTCTCTGATAGTACTGGGCATATAGCCAAGCGCTCCACACACTAATTAGCCAAAATATCAATAAAATATTGTTGTATAAATAAACCATATTCCCCCACACCCACCACCCCCTATTTTTCTCTCTGTCAACACTAACACAAGATTATTTATTTAATTTATTTTGGTCTAAAAAAGTAACAAGCGAGAAAGTCTGTAATTGGCTAAAAGCTATCCGTATCGATCTACCTCAAGCCTCGTCAATAACGGTATTAATTATTAGAGTTAATTGTCAGAGCAGTAACTCTAGTTAGAGTTTGAGGGCAGAGGGGTTTGTAAGCCACATAAGGAGGAGGAGAGAGCCTCATATTAAACAAAACCTCCCACCACTTGAAATATTCATTTCCTTCTTGTGAAGAAAAATAGAAAATAATAATAATTAAGGGGAAAGGGAATTCAAAACAACTCCCAGCAGTGCCAAGATGAAATGACAAACATGCAATATTGATACAAAATAAGCTAGAAGGGCTAAAAATAGGCCACAGAAGCACTTTGATTGGAGGGATGGCTTAGATTCGTTCAGCGTTAGAAAAGAGAAGGGTGAATGTAATCAAACAACTCGCTCTATGTCTCCATTGTTTCCTCTGTTGCCGGTTGCCTTGCCGCTGATACGGTCAACAGCTATTGTTAGTGAAAGACATGTTTTTGTTTTCCACAATCCAACCACCTGTTTTGAGAAGGGGATCGTGAATAGCTACATTTTCCGACCGTGCAGGGAACAATGCTGTCATTTCATCATCGTGTTGATGCTAGGAATCTGTCACTCAGTCAAATAGAGAATCCTTTTTTTAATACTCTCCAGAGGAATCATTAAAAACTAGGGGTGCAATGGTTCAACTTACTCACGGTTCGGTTCGTATCACAGTTTTAGAGTCACAATTTCGGTACGGTTCGGTATGTGCTATGTTTTTTTTCTCTCATCGCTCTTGTTGTAATGTATTGGGAAGCCAGAATTTGTATCCATCAACGGAAACATGCATTAGCTGAACTCTAACAAACCATATTACAGATGCATTGTCAGATTTAAGTTGAACCGCGGTCCTATTGCATGCCGAACCGTGTGTGGAGAACCGTACGGTTCGATTTTTTTACAGAGAACCGTTGCACCCCTATTAAAAACCCAATCACACGTTGGAGTGTACATATTTAGGGGTTTGTTTCAAAATATGTCTTGAACAGTATCGTTCATTAAATGAAAAAGGGGATGGAAAGATTGTAGTCCAAGGAGTGTCAGACCAGATGTTCTGAATAATGCATCAATGTCTTCACCTGACAGAAAACAAGCATAAACATCAATAAATAAATAAAAAAACAGCGTGACTAGATTAATCAGGAAATGGCAAAGCGTGTCACATTGCGTATCATTTACAACAGTAGGAATACATTTTATTGGTTTAGCTTGGCTTAGCTTCATATACGCATCAAATACAGTGCTGAAAATAGAACAGTTTCATATCAAGTATTAAAGGATTCAAAGGGGGCGGGACTTTGGAATTCATAATAAAACTGTCTGATTTGATTGTAAAAATATTTGCTCAGCCTTAAATGGTCCCTTTAAGGCGTATCCCAGTCATACTTGACAAATTAATACTTCACACATGCAGCTGGTCAGAACAAACTCAATTCCACCTTTTCAGGGGACGACACAAAAACAAAATCACACCCACTTAAATAGTCAAAATGTAAATGCGTACACATACATGCACTCTTACACCCACATTCACACACAAACACACAAGTAGTACCTCACACACACCATCTTCACAGTGGCATGTCCCCTATACTTACTAAACAAATCCATCACTATAACAGCCAAGTGAGTGAGGTGTTGACTCACAAAGTGAGATCTCCCTTTTTAGAATCAGTCTGGTTTTGTTGTTTAGTCCAGATAATTTACGCTGTGGTGGTAATCCTGAGCTGAGCTTAGAGAATGCATATAGACAAGCAACAGGCATATACAAGAAGACACACAAAGCCTGGGCAAGAGAAATTCAAGGGCTTGTTGCTGCGGTATCTCGTCTTTCTCTACTGCCGGTATGAACACTAGGGAGCAGCCTGTACCTTCTCTCAGAGGCCCTGTGCTTTCACCAGTGCAATAGCCACTGATGTGGGGTGTGCACGATCTAACAATCCGTCAGGATGATCACTCACACAATAACAATGGCTTACCACAGGACATCATGTCACACCTAAACAGAAAGCCGCAATTGAATATACATCTAGAATTTGCAAAATAAACAAAATAAAACAAAACGAATCATCCAAAAAAAAAAAAAAAAGGATCACACCCATTTCAAGTACATTTAGATTTGAATGTTTAAGACCTCCTCTCACTCCTTTTACCCCTTGGTTGAGGCTCTTTTTATGTGTTGTCTGTGAAGTCTGTGGAAGCAGTGAAGGGAATTAAGGTCTTAGACACTCCTTGTCTTGTTTATTTGCACAGCATACAAATGTTTGACTTTATCATGTGAGATCCGATCAAACCGCATTAGCCTGTCTTGTTTTTGCTAGTTTGCTTAATCTATTTAGGATAGGTACAAGTGGGACAACTGCAACAGCCATAACAATCAAGCTTTGCACAGTAATTATATCTCGGGGAGAGACGAGGAGATCTGAACCTTTGACTGAGGCTTAACATTTCAAATGAAGTGAAGCGCTCCCAACAGGCCTGCTTATTTACATCCTGAAATACTGCAGAGCTCTCTGAACATCTTTCCCCGCGATCACAGACAAAAAAAGCAACCCTCCAACTCACCTGCAAAAATGAGTACTGTGAATTGCAATTCATTTATTTAAACATTTGTATTTTCCTCTTCTTTTTTTCTCCATAGATTACAAAAGAAATAAGATAACATCTTGCATTTTATCCCCACTCTTGCATTTCTGCTGTTAACATATTTTACATATAATCTTTTTTTAAGGGTTTATTTGTTTTGTTGTTTTCCTCTCCGATTTTGTATGTTTGTTACCACAGTAAAAATTGTGTTCTGGATGTCCTCGATACCTTTAGAAAGTCCTAGAATATCCTGAAGTAGAAAGACACATTAAAGCTCAAATATCCACTCTTCATAAGAGAAGCCAGGACAGGTCAACATAATTATTCCACATCTTTTGCATCAAGTACACAGGTGTTAGAGTCAAATTCTCCCACAAGGCTTTGAGGCTGTTGAAATCAGCACTAAATCTCTGTTTTTAGTCCATTTGCACTCAAGAAAAGTTAGCTTCCTCCTGAGAGCAGCAAAATGAGGTGCCAAGTTAACGTGTGTTCCATATCCATTCTAACTTTGAAACCACTGATTTTTAAAAATGACATGGGTGGAATATCACACCTCGCACTCTCGAGATGGCTGCTGCTGGCACGTGCAAGAGCCGTACTCGTTGATGATGACAAGTGCCCCCTCAATATGGTTGGGTTTGTAGTCAACGTAGTACTCGGATGCAGATGTAGTAGCCATCTGCTGCATGGTCTGCTTCTGCTTCTGTTTGCGACGCTGGCTGGTGAAGCACTGCCTTAACTGCCTGATGCCTGCCGGGAAACATTTCCAGGACACATAGAGCATGAGGACCATGATCAGGAAGGAGAAAATGAGGGCCATGGTGCCTGTCACCACCTTGTGAATCTGCATGGTGCTCTCCAGGTCATCAGCAGATGCAGTCACCGTTAAGGAGTTGGTTACCACTTCCCCGCCCTCCACGTCCTGCAGGTCATAGGTATTTCTCGTTGACCCATCGTATATGAAGCCTCTGGCACGGTTTCTGGTAGCGGTGAAGGTCTGCGTTGTTGCTTCTACATTGTCCTCGCATAACTGGAAAGCGTAGACGGCATCCAGTATGTCCTCACCCTGTGCAATGTCCGGGCTGGCGCACAACAAGCCACTGTCACGTTGTCCCTGGAAGTTGCTAAGCCAGGAAGCCAAGGCACAGACATTCCTGCTGCATTCCCAGTCATTACCCGACAGAGTTAAGCTGCTCAGGGATGTCCATGAGTCCAAAATCCGCTGATCTATGTAAGTCAGTTTATTAGAGTCCAGCATAAGAGTGTTAAGGTTGGGTACACTCTCGAACACATGGGGCTCAATGTACTCAATCTCATTGTTGGAGAAGTCAATCTTCTCCAAATGGTCCCAGGTCCAGTCAAGGGTGCTGACCACAATGGTGGCCTTATTGTTTCGCATGTAGAGGGTCCGCAGGGATATGAGGCGGGGGAAATGGGCCAGATTGACTTTCACCAACTCGTTGTGCTCCAGATGCAGCTCAGTGAGCTTGAAGAGTCCGGCAAATGAATTACGTGCCAGGCTCTGCAGCTGGTTGTAACCCAGATCCAGGAATTGCATGCTCCTGCAATCCTGGAAAATCCGCACAGGGATGAATTTAAGGGCATTGTAGCGCAAATGTAAATTGGTAAGCTTCCTAAGGCCATGGAAAAGGTCTGGCTCCAAGGATTGAAGTCTGTTATAAGATAAATCCAATATTCGCAGATTGGGCAGAGGTCTGAAGGTCCCGTTGGGCAGGATTTCTATCCGGTTGGAACTCAGATCCAGCTCTTTAACCCTTCGCAGCCTCTCAAAGGCGTTCTCCTCCACAATCTCAATATTGTTATGATCCAAGTAGAGCCAGGTAAGCTGCGACAGGCTAACAAAGTCCCCTTCCCGCAGCTCAGAGATGTTATTCTCACGCAGGGACAAACCAATGGCACTGCTCAGGTTTTGGGGGATGTCAGTCAGGTTGAGCCCTTCACAATACAATAGCTTGTTGTCACATCGGCACGGCCTCGGACAGCTCCCTCCCACCAACGGAACTATTTTCAGAACAATGCCCAGGGAGCACAGTATTAGCCCAGGGGGCTTTCTTAGTGGCCACTTTAGGTACAGACCAATTAGGAGGAAATCCATTAGCATGAATATCCTGCAGTGTCGTAGAGAAAAAGTCCATTGAATCTTTCAGATCTTGGTCATTTTAGATTTTGTGATTTGTAACTCCCCAAGTCTTTTCAGTTGATATGTATTTATAGAGAATATGGATGGTGAATCGGTACTTAAAGAATCAAGAAATCCTGCCACATTGAAAGGAGAAGAGCGACGGCAAATAAACGACAAGTCACTTTGCTCATGTTAGATCAGAGAAAGGAAAAGAGAGACGAAGGTACAAAAAAATGCGCTCCTCAAGAATCAATCTCACATGAAAGGATGCCTACTCACCCCTTTCCAGAGGCTGACAACCTCTATTCAGTTGATCCCTTTGTGCCGACGCTAATTATGTGTGAAACTAAAAAAGACTCCAGTGTTGTACAAATTCAGCCCCCCCTCCTTTTCATCGGACACCAGATCCTGGCAGACTTACAATGTCTTAGTTCTCCTCGTGTGAAAGAGCCAAAAAGAGAGCGAATCCAAGTGGCATTCAGCAGGCTGGTAGGAAGTGCAAGTTTCCCGGACTGCATGCATGAGCGCTGTCCTCTCTCCACCGCTCCTCTGCATTGACTGCTGCGCTGATCTGTGGGAGAGACGAGTGGGGGAAAACATGCACGAAGGAGGGAATAATCCACTCCAAACTCTCACGCTCCCTCTTTTCCTCCCTTCTTGTTAAAGACTCCCGATCTGTCGTCGCAAATCACCATCCATAACCTAAAGTGATCACTGACCTGCACAATGTACATTGAGTGAAGCTCATTGGCATTCTGTCAGTGGTTGTTTCTTCGCAATTGTGAACATGCAAAAGCTGTGTGATCTGCATCATATAGCTCTATTTTTCTTTTTCCTGTCCTTTTTAATTTTTTGTATAGTAGTGATATCCAAAGATCATTGATGATAGTGTGTCTAGTAAGACTCAAATCTTCAGTAAAGTCTTCTTTGTATGAAGCTCATTTCCTGTGGGCTGCGGAGGCTGTAGATGCTGAGGCTGAAGACAGGCGCGGTGTATGGGGAGGAGAGAGATGCTCGATCCCTTGCAGCAGACTAGTGCACTGGCAGTGCATGCAGAAACACCTTCTGTTCACTGAGTGTCGTAAGCCACTCACAATTCAGCCCAGGCGCCCTCTCCCTCTCTCTCTCTCTCTCTCTCTCTCTCTCTCTCTCCCTCCACCTCCCCCTGCTGCTCTTCTGCTCACCCTTTTTTTTCTTCAATGTTCTCTCTCTTTTTCTTTCTTTCCTTCTCTCTCGCTCTCTCTTTTCGGTGCCTGAGACAATTTGATATTTAAGAGAGGCTGGGCTTAAACTATGGTTTAAATGAAGCACACAACCGAAACATTACCACCCCCCCTCCACTCCCTCCCTCGCTTCCTAAATAAATTGGAACACAGTATCTATCTGCCAACGTCTACCGTTAGTAGTACATAGTTTGCTTATTACTACAGATTAATATCCTTCTAATGACTTAAGCAGTGTGTCAATTCCCTGTGGTTTGATGTGTTGAAAGTATTGCATAAACAAGAGGATTTTTAAAAAATTGTTAATTATTATTTTATCAGTTATTATAGGCAGAGCACATGGCTACGGGTGGGCAGCACCCTAAAGGACGTATGCTTACTCAATAGAAAATGTAGTATATCATGTTATTAATTTATATTATTTTTTTATTTTTTATTTTTCAACATTTTCAATGAATTTCAACATCATTCTGATTTCTTAAATCTATATATGTATTATTGATTGTTTTTTGAGATTTGATAACATCATGTCACTATGTGAGTTCCAATGGCTAATTACTCTTGCTAGCCAATGAGCTAACCTAAACCAATACTGATACGGTCTCCGAGTGAGATTAATGTGTTTTTTGCCAGACTCCAATCGAACCATCAGAGTGAATTCAAAATGGCACTGTAGTGTAAGCATTGCCTTTTCAGGCTGTTAGGTTGTTAAAAAATGACCTTGTGCACGGCGAGCATGGTAATGGCATCATGCGCCATATGTCATAGCAGTTAGCTGGTAGCACACATATGCTCAGATATAGTCCACAGCATGGCGACTATCTTATCCTCCTCCTCCTCCTCCTCCTCCTCCTCCTTACGCCCCACCCTCACATGCCCTCGTTGGCCTAGTCTTAAACCCGAATCACTACATTTACATTTCGTAATGCCGCCTACCTGGGCTTGTTTATCACAGCCGTTTCAAGTCTCGCCATCCAATTGGAATACAGATATCATCTGTTGCCACTTAGCCAGGCTTACATAAATATTCTGCTCAGGAGCCTTGTTGCAGTGCACCACGGATTGCAGTCCCCAGGCTTGTCATTTCATTCCGATTAATTTTCAAGGACAATGAGCTGTGACAATCCTGTACATGAAGCTAGCATGCATCTGTTGGTTTGCCTGCTTTCTGATAGCTCCCCTAATTTTAAAATCAGCCTTTTCCTTTGCTTAGCATGCTGTGAAATATGAATTAATCTCATGTTGAAAATATGCCACACATAGTCTCCTTAGTCCGCTAATGGCACAGGAGTCTGCAATCAATGTATGATTTTAGAAACATTTTAAAGATTTTAAAGGTCATATTGTAATTTTTGAATGAACAATTACTTTATTGGGATTCAAAACCAAAGCTCCTAATTTTTTTTAAATATAATTATAAATATAAGTGCACTTTTAAAAACAAGTTGTATTACTGTTAAAAGGTTGTGAGATTATATTGATGATGGAATATAATATGGGTTTAAATGTTACACAAATACAAATTTATTTTTTTCATTGTTCAGAGCACAGTTGTGTCTATATTGTACACCCCATTACATTTTATAGTGATTAGATAAATCCCAAAGGTACCTTGCTGGATAGATATGACTCTTCTTCATTTCCATACTTAATAGAGATGACATGAACAAAGGAGGTGGACCTGAAAATATTCAGAGCATCAATTAGATGTGCATTGTGTTTATGCGTTATACACCTAATCAATATCCTGTTATGTTCAATGGTAATGTTTTCTGCTTCATTAAGTGTTTAACCACAGATTTCCTTATCCGGTGGAACTAAGCCATTAAACCGCTAACGCTTAAGTCCACCGTAACTCTCCTGCAATTATAATGTATACATGCTCTGCCCTGTCCTGATGAGACTTAAAAGGGCCACACTTGCCAGGCAGAGTACAGCATTTAGGGACATGTTAAATCAAAGGCTCTGCTCTGGATTAGCAGTCCTGTCAGTGAGGTCTACCTACCCGCCTCAGTCATGCTGCAGAGATTTGCATGAAGACCTGCACACAGTTACTACTATTCCTGACCAGGGGAAGCATTGCCTTGAAATGACTTTTTGTACTCTCTCTGCCGTCTTGGATAATAGAATACTGGTGCACAAAAAAAGTCACCCATTTCCCCAAGGGCCTGACTCCATAAGCCTACTCTCAGATGAGTATGAAAGAGTCACTTCTCTCAGTGGGCCATTTGGACACTGTGAGTCATTAAAGGAATGTGGAGGTCTTTGTGGAAACTATGAGAACTCCTGAGTGACCCTCCTTTCTACTCATTGCGCCATTGTAGTGGTTTAGGATTGTAGGCCCTCATTAATGCAAGTGGGATACTCTGAGCTGTCAGAACAAAACATTATGGGGAATAATCACACCTCTCTCTTTCAGTCTGTGCCTTTCACCTAATTCTTTGTTCTTAGCTGAAGACATTTTCACTAGACCCGTACAGAATATGTACTCAAAGATGAAAACTAATCAGATTTGGGAGGAATCTGAACTTTTGCCATTAATACAATTCTGCAAATTCCTGACCACTTGTAAGTGACATTTATTTGTTTTTCTTCATTACAACTGCAAAGAGTTTTGAACAAATGTTGTGTAAATAAAAGATGCATTATAATATTTGTAAGCCTGGTACTCTCAGCTCCATTTGATATATTTAAATCCCTTCACTTCAAAAAAACTAAATTGTAATGACCCCAAACTTTTGACCAGTAGCATATGTTCACACACACACACACACACACACACTCCTATCGTAATGGGGACATTCCATTGGTGTAATGGTTCTTCAACTGTACAAACTGTATTTTCTATCCCCTAAACCTACCTCTCATAGGAAACTTTCTGCATTTTTAGATTTTCAAAACATTTCATTCTGTATGATTTATAAGCTTGTTTCCTCATGGGGACCTAAGAAATGTCCCCACAAGATCAAAATTTACTGGTTTTTACTATACTTGTGGGGACATTTGGTCCCCATAACGTAGTGAATACCAGCACACACACAATAAATATGAAGATTATTTATAGTTTGCTGTATAGTCTGCTTGGATAATATGAATGTAATCACTAAGATTTTTTTTTTATACAGTTAGCTTTTAAAAATCAAACTACAAGACTCAAAGTAATGGTCTTAGGGTAGCACTTTTAAAAACAATATCATTATTGTGAAGATCCAGAAGCCTTTGCTGCTCAGCCCTATTCCCTAGCCGGTCCGTGCCCTGAGGTTAAAGGCTTATTGATTTGCCTCTCTAAGCAACTCCATCTCCACTGAGAGGTTCTTTAGGTGAACCACAGCTGAAGCCTCCTGACCAAGGTACTTTGGTGTGATACAATTTTGTAGTGCTCGTCCAACAGAGCTACACTTCATGTGTCTGTGCATTTACCAAGAGAACAGCCTGTTATGCTGCCTGAAGTTGCAGCCTGGTATTTGTTATCATATTAATTATTTAATTATAATCATAAACACACTGGTCTGTAGCACAAATAGTTTTACCATTTACTGCAATTTGTTATTCTTCTAGTTATTTACCAGTAGCAGCAAATTAATCAAATTCTTGCACATTCAAAGAAAACAGCTTTCTTCAGTGTTGCAAAATAAGGTATTATAAAATATAGTGTAAATCATTGAATTGACGTTACAAAAAGTGACTCAAAATGCCCAAACTGCCCACTTAGGTTTTCGATTAGGGGACCTGATTATTTTTGTATTGTATAAAAACAAATAATAATAATAATTTCACTAAATGGGCCTCCCTGATTAAAATTCAATGGTTTATTTTGTATCCTGATAATTACTCTTTAAAAGTTTGACTGCGTTTTTTTTTTTTTAATTTAGATTCTAAACAAGAAACCAAAAACAACTTCCCTTCAGAGAGAAGAGATCATTACAATGGAGCTTTGCTGAGGTCAATTGTTCATGTTTAGATTCGGAATTAAGAATTTTGAATTAGTTTATGATAAATGATGAACTGATCAATACAATGCAGTATGTGAAAAATAGGACTGCTTAATTGTGCATAATTGTGTAGCCCCTGACTTTTGGAACAGATCGAGATATGTGTGATTGTTTAATATGTTGTTTTGTGACGACATGTGTAACACAGTTCGTAGTCACGGGAAGAAGGAGGCGGGAACCGGCGAACACTTAAAGATTTTTATAAAATAAACAAACACAAAACGAAAGTAAAGCAGCAGCCCCTCGCGGACGACTGCCGCACACAAAACACAAAATAAAAACTCCCGAGACTGCGCTCTACTCCCCCCGATCACGGCAGCCGCGGCGTACCTGGGGGTAAGGACAGACAGACGAGGCGAGAGAAAAGGAGACGGAAGGATGAGGAGAGAGATACGAGAGAGGGGAGAGAGGAAAAGAAAAAAAACAAATTATCGGTCCGGTTCCCGGACACACTGCAGCTTGGTCCTCAACCGGCTGAGCAAACACAAAATAGCGCGACAGCCCCTCGCAGACGACAGAACCAGAACCAGAACACAAAATAAAATCCAGGCCTGGTCCTCTCTCGTCCGACACTGTCGTCACTCCTCCCTTTTATCCTTCCGGAGCTCCTCCGTGAGACTCGAGACCGGTGAGTGGTGCAGGTGTCGCTCATTATCAATTACTCCACCGGCCTCGCTCCGTTCCCACAGCTCTCGGCCCCGCCCCCACTCGTCACAACATGTTGTTGTCTGATTTTTCTAGATTAGAGAATTATTTGTTTTGGCATACAATCTTCCACCAGCCTGGGCATGTTTTTTTGGCTTTAAACAATTTTTAAATTAATCTCATCTCAATCCTTCTTGAATATCCTCAATGTACTGTACAAAAAAGACAAACATGTAGAGCCATTGAAACAGCCAGTCAGCTTA